TGGGGGTGAGGTTGAGGTGAGGTTGGAAGTGAGGATAGGATGAGGTTGGAGGTGAGGTTGGAGGTGAGATTGGAGGAGAGGCTGTGGGTGAGGTTGGAGGTGAGGTTGGAGGAGAGACTGGGGGTGAGGTTGGAGGTGAGGCTGCAGATGATGTTGTTTCGGGTCTCCTGGCGGGGGTCCGAGGAGGCAGGGTCAGGGAAGGCCCCAGGGAAGAGATGCCGTCTGAGGGTCACCCGGGAAGTCCGAGCAGCTGGGTGGAGGCAGCCTGAGGAATACAGCCAGGGGGAGGCAGGTGTGTGAGTGGAACAAAAGATCCCGGAGACCACACCTGCCTTCGGTTCTGACCCCAAAGGACAGTTGCTCCAGGCCAGTCGGTTGACCTACTGAACCGACTATCTTGGTCTATCACAGGGTTTCTCCCCGGTGGCGCTGTTGACATTTGGGGCCAGATTGGCGTGGGGCCATCCTGCGCCCTGCAAGGCGTTCCGCCGCATCCTTGGCCTCCGCTCACCAGATGCCGGCAGCACCCCTGCAGTTGACAGTCAAATCCCTCCAGACATTTGGCTCGGGGTGGGGGAGGCTGCAAAATCAGCCACAACTGGGACGGGCTAGTGGGTCATCTGGGAGAATTGTCCTAACCGTCGTGCGGCAAGAAGAGAGAGTGATACAGAGCGTAAGCTCCGGGGTCGGCCTGCCTGGTGTCCTTTCCTAGTTGTTTTTAACTAGCTTTGCGTCCCTGGGAACCTTGCTCAACCCTGTGGTTTCCTTTTCCGTAAATAGAGAGAGCTGGCAATTTCTTCCTAGCGGTCCTGGGAGGGCCGGCCGAGGCGCAGCTGTTCGGGGCTTGGCCCGCAGAGGACCTCCGTATGTGGCATCTGGCCGGTGCCGGGGCTGCTGGGAAAGTGAAATGAGACTCTGACACCAGAGTCCGTCTTGACTGTTGCTTCGTCCCCACAGGTGGCATGTGGGGCCCCCCCCAGGGGTGATTGGTGGTTGGAGATGGGAGGTCCTGGCCTGCTTCTGGCCATTCTGGTTGGATCCTGCTGCCCTTAAACAAAGTTCCCTTTGGTCGAGGCTCCTGAGGCCGGGGGGCGTCTGAAGGAGATTGTGGAACAGGCCCCGGGGGTTCTCGAGGGGGAGGGGAGGGTCGCTGGTGTCCAGGAGCTAGACAGGGGCGAGGACCGTTGGTCTGGCCGACTTGGCAGCTTTGATCTTAGCCCCCGTCCTGGAGCCGTGTCTCGGGACTCAGCGGCTCTTACAGCTGTTGGGCATTGCTGGCCACTCTCCAGACCCAGAAAATGTCTGTTGCCTTCCTGTTTTCTGAAAAGTTCTGTGTGTGAGTATGCTGGCCGACTTCTGGCCTCAGGTCAAGGGGAGGGTCAAGGGAGGAGCGAGGGGGACTGCTTGGAGCCTCAGTTTACATGTCTGTGAAACGGGATGTGGATGATGTCTCTTCCAAAGGCTTGTCAAGATTAAGAGAACATGTGGCAGTGGCTGGGTCTTGGCCTGGAGCTCAGGAGAGAAACCTGGGCCAGAGAGAGAGTTCTGGAAGTCTGATCTAGAGCAGGCGCTCGGTGCAGGAATGAGTGAAGAGAGCCACACCCCTTAATCTCCCTCCTCTGTTCTGTTTTCCTCCTGAACACCCGTGGCCATTGGCTCAGTGCGGAGCTCACCAAGCTCCCTGCACGTTGACTGTCACCCCCCATTATGATGTGGCTCCCAGAGGGAGGGCAAGCACCCGCCGTCCATTCTTTTTTTTAAGTTTTTTTTAAATGTTTATTTATTTCTGAGACAGAGAGAGACA